TAACTATGGGCAGCCCCTATTCATAGCCACTTGAACAGATTCTGCGTAAGGAAGATGTAACCCTGTGTAATAGAGATTACTCTGTGTGATGGGGATGACTTTCTGCAATGGAAATGATTCTGTGAAATAGAGATGACACTTTCCAATGGAGATGTAATCAAGATGATCTTATGTAATAGAGATGAATTTCTGCTGTGGACATGATTCTCTGTAAGGATGACACTATATAATAGAGATGACTGTCTATAATGGCGATGACTCTTGTAATGGTAAAAACAGGATTTTGTCCTCTAGTTTCCATGTTCCAATTAAACGTTCCTCACTTTTATCCACTTTATTAGGAGTTGGATGTAAATAGTGCAGAGATAACTCATTGTAATGCAGATGACCCTGTAAAATAGAAATTATTCTATCTAATGGCGATGACTCTGTCTATTAGAAATGACTCTGTGTAACAGAGATGTCCACTCTATGGCAGGTCAGCTGATTAGCTCTCTGTTCAGGGTGCGACTCTGATCTCTGTCTTTGAATCATTTTCTCTTTCAGCAGAAAAAATTGCACCTGTCATTTTGGCACCAAACCAATCTTCACATCATTAATTTATCGGACTGCAATATTCATGGAGGAAATTGAGAGCACAGCCCTCATCAAGTGGAAATGCAGGAGCATGAGGAAATTAATGATATCAGGTCTAAATCTTAGGGGAGGACTATTAAAATCCCTCAGCCTGCTGCTTCAATTAGTAAAGTTTTCATTGGCATGGCACAGCTATGGTTACACAGCATCAGCAAATAGTTCCTGGGTCTGAAAATCATTATGGGGACGATTTGGAAAAGTGAGACTTCCTGCAGTCTGTTAGTATGTCAGGAACACCTTTTTAATCTCTCCTCCTGGTGAAAAGTGGGCTCCGTCAAGTAAGGATGTCATAAATATCAATGATCCCATTAATTGACCATCACCACAGTGACAAAGAGGCGGGTGACTCAGCGGAGAAGGACCTGATTCACCACCCCTCAGTCAGAATGGTAGGAGGGTCAGTAACATTTAACATAACCTCAGTGTAACCCCAGTCTCTGTAATGCTATGCAGACCCTGTAAATTGAAACTGTATTGGTGGCTAATTAAATAATATACAAATACCTATGTAAAGAAACCTTACATTAAAGCATCCTTGACATGGATAACATCCCTGGTTTCAAAGGAGCAAACCTCTAGTAGACGGACAGTAGCCCCAGAATGGGGTCCTGAGTGTTGAAAACAGAGGCACACTATCCCCTCATGGGAAACAGCTTGCTAATTAATTACGTACATGTGTGTTTTTATTTGTTCGGTTATTAGCCATTAAAGGGCATGTGGAGTTAGCTGCAGTAGATTTGAGCCCTTAAAGGTCTTTCTTTCACGCTCCATGAAAATGTCTTTGGATGGGATCCGTTTATTGTGCTTCAGGGAAGCCAGCTATCGCTTCACCGCATAAATCTGAGGCTAATAAAGCCTCTAAAGAAACTGTGCAGACGGTGGGGCACAATTTATGCTTCCTGTCAGCTGCCGAGCTTCTCAAGGGCCCCACACAGCGAACATCAAGGCCGATCATCAGAACCGGAAGAAAGTCCAACCTGGACCCCTGGTGCCACGCTTCTCATTGGCCCCACACAGTGAGCATCAAGGCCGATCATCAGAACCGGAAGAATGTCCAACCCGGACCCCTGGTGCCACGCTTCTCATTGGGCCCCACACAACAAGTATCAAGGCTGATCATCAGAACCGGAAGTAAGTTCAACCCGGTCCCCCGGTACCATGCTTCTCAAGGGCCTCACACCGTGAGCATCAAGGCAGTTTGTCAAAACCGGCAGGATTCGACCCAGTCCCATGGTACCACAGCCTCTCAAAGGGTTAGCACTTGTACATTTATGAAACATCCCTCAGTAAATATCAGATCCCGAATGCTAACAAATTAATGAGACTCTATGACTCATCTGGTACAGGCAGCAGTTTGGAACTATAGGATTAATAACAAACTAAGGAGGGTAAGAATATATAAAGCTGATAAGTATTGCTAGATTGAGCTTGGTTAAGCAAATTAGTGACTGGATGCGATTCTAAAACAGCCTATTACTATGTACAATCCTTATACACTCACCTAAAGGATTATTAGGAACACCATACTAATACGGTGTTTGACCCCCTTTCGCCTTCAGAACTGCCTTAATTCTACGTGG